AAAAGGCATTAAGAGTTGTAAACCTAATCTTGCATAGCTTCTTCTCCAGTAATATCACTCTACTAACCAGAGCATACAAAACATTTGCTAGACCAATTCTCGAATACAGCTCATCTGTCTGGAACCCGCACTGCATATCAGACATTAATACAATTGAATGTGTCCAGAAATATTTCACAAGAAGAGTCCTCCACTCCTCTGCTCGCAACAGAATACCTTATACCACCAAACTTGAAATTCTGGGCTTAGAAAAAAAATTTTTTGGCCTTTAAGAGGTTTAAGAAAAAATGTTTTTAAAAAGCCTCTGATGATCGTGCGGCTCAGCTGGGCATGGGGGGGCAGGGATTTCTGCTACCGGTTCTCCAAACCACCCGCCGCTATCGCTACCGGATTGGGCAATCTGGTCCGAACCGGGAGCATTTCACCCCTGCTCTATTTGTATCTATTTTATGTATTCAATTCATGCTTATATTTATATATATTTCCTAATACATTCTTGACAAATAAATAAAATAAATAAATGCTTAAACCCTCTCAGACCTCTCTCTTCTGAAATCAAATTTTTGCACAACAAAACAGTTTTTGATACTACAAAGTTTCCAAATCATCTCCTAAACCCCTGTTAGGAGATGACAGATTCATTCAGGCAACAAAAAATCTATACCAAAGCCACTGAGGAGAAAACAGTTTGAAGACAATTTTGTGGAGCATTAATAAATTTTTTCTACTTTTTTTTTTCTTAACATTATCAAGCTTTTGGGTGGTTTTTTTTTGCAAAGAATAAGGACAGGAAACCAGCAAGGAAATGGTGTCAAGATATTTTCAAGGAGGTGATTATTTGCAAAATACACAGGGCAGAGAGTGAACTTGATTTAATTTCATTTTTAAAGTGTGTCTAGAGACTAGAACAAAATTGTATTGAACCTTCTGGGAAGAATTAAGAGAATATTGTCCATTGCTTTCATAACTGATTGAGTCATATTCTAACTTGAATATTCATGCATGAGGCATTACATCTCATTGTGTTTCTTCTTCTAAAGACAGATTCATTACTGATACAGAGTACATAGAGCATTTTTTTCTTACACACTCAAAAACCTGAATAGCTGAAAGGTAGGTGGCTGGTGATTTACCATTTACAACAAAACAAATTCAATGAAAATCATCAGTGTAGAGGCCCTTTTATTCCTTTTCCTGGCACAACTTTGCTTATAGAAAGCACTCACAGACAGCACTCAAAATTGTGTCCAAGATCTGTCCTTTTCAACAAACTTTTTAACAAGAAGAGAGATGTTGTGGACTGCCTCCATTCCTTTCAAATACTCTTCTAGATAACCAGAAAGTCTATGGAGATTCTCAGTCTTCCAGGTCATGGTTGCCCCAAAGGTGCTTTTTCAAGGAGGCAACTGGACTTTCTCGTTTTCACTTTCAAAACTTTTCACTTCTCATCCAAGAAGCTTCTTCAGACCTGACTGGATGGTGGGGAATGGAAGGATTTACACTCCTTGCAGACATCTGGTCATTTGAATTCTTTTAGAGAGTCCATGAGTACCTCCAAGTTGTCACAGTGCTTTACAGCCTTCTCTAAGCGGTTTACAGAGTTAGCATACTGCCCCCAACAATCGGGGTCCTCATTTTACCCACCTCGGAAGGATGGAAGGCAACCTTGAGCCGGTGGGATTTGAATTACTAAATTGCAGCAGCCGGCAGTCAGCAGAAGTAGCCTGCAGTACTGCTCTCTAACCACTGCGCCACCGAGGCTCTTAACAACTAGGCTATATTTTTGTTATTCTTCATGATAAAATTATCCAGGTTTTTTTTTCCTTTTTAAATGTAACATTATATCATTATTAGTCATATCCATGTAAATCCTTTATTATCTTAATGTAATTTTATTTATTGATATAATAATAATTTTTAGAAAAAATCCAGTCCCACAGGATATTTCTATCATGTTATTTTTAGGTTTCCTGAAAACACTGAAGGTGCTTTATTAACCTGGCATGCTGATTTGTGTCCTTTATTTACTAAAAGGTTTTCAATTAATGCAAATTATTTGCCAATAAGGATCGCTTAAGCCTTAAAGCCAGCCTGTCAAACTGGCGGCCCACGGGCCAGATACGTCACATGCAGGCCACGCCCACTTCGGTTCCGAAAAGGCAAAAAACATCGCGATATGCCACGATTCAGCCCGTGACATGATTGAGTTTGACACCCGTGCCTTAGAGCTATGAGATCTGGACCGCTAACATCCAGATAACCAGTAGATGGCAGCCAAGGTCAGAGTTTATAGTATTTCTTTACTGCCTTTATCCAGATTTTTGTAGCTAGTAGTTCTACTTCAATCTAAATATTGAAGTTCAGTGCTGCAGCATAAAATTGCTGGAGTAGAAATTACCATTTAGGAACAGATGGTTTGTTGATGAGAATGAATGAGGATTACAAAGTCATTAAAAGTTGTACTTCTTATTATGAAAGCATGCCCATGTGGAACAGATCTGGCTTGAATGGAAGTAGTAATAACTCCCCCTTAGGCTTTTTAAAGTGACCCCGTTTCCACTGTATAGCAACAATCTTGTTTAATGGTAACTTATTTCACCAATCATAAACTATTTCTGCATAGGTCTCATTTTTCTCTTTCAGAAATTATGTGCATGGCAATTATCATTGGCAAAATCTTTAATAAAAATATCAAATGTTTTTGTTTCCAGTTCAGTTCCACCTGACCCACTGATGATTGAACATCGGCAGCTGCTGGAGAGGTTATAACAGTCAAGATGGCAGCTACAACTGCACAAATTCCCTGTTTTTATCCATGACTGTAACATATTATATCACATAAAAAAGGTCAGGGCTTTGATAATGCAGTTACTACCATGATGACTTTTTTGGCCCTCTCTGGTGGACAAAGCTAGCCAATCAGCAAATCAAGAAAAAAAAAGTGAGGTGGTTAGTTTTTAACAATGCACAGAAAGTTTCCAATAATTTGGTTAGCAAATTTATTTTGATGGTACGACTTACTGTACTTTTCGGAGTATAAGACGCACTTTTCCCGCCCTAAAAGAGGGTGGAAATGTTGGTGCGTCTTATACACCGAATAAGTTGGTGCATCTTATACACTGTTTTTGGCCTCCCGAAACCCCACTCCGTGTGCCCCATTTTTGACAAAAACAGGTCTGTTTTTCGCAAAAATGGGATGTGCAGAGAATTTGGGAGGCCTGCAGAGTGCGCCTGGGGGCCGGGGAGGGCAAAATCTATTTTTTTTCTTGTTTTCCTCTTTGAAATCTTGGTGCATCTTATACTCCAGTGTGTCATATAGTCTGAAAAATACGGTATATGGCCACCTATCTCATACAACAGCTACCCAGAGTTTCCCTATATAGTAACATTGGCAACCAATTAATTTAATAATAAATAAGTACAATAACTAGGAGGCTCATAACAATCCATAAAACATGGTTAAAAACCATGTGCCTGTCTTCAGACCCTAGACCAAACAGACTCACAAATAAACCCTCATCCTAGCTCAAAGCTTCCCAGAATTCCAGATCTTCACAACCTTCTGAAAGCTAAAAGAGAAGGGATTTCGGGTAGGAGGCTGTCCCAAAGGGCTGGGACAATATGATGGAATGTGGGAATGAACTTGGAAGATGTGGGGGAGAAAGATGTTACCTAGAGAATTATCAGATAGGGAGGACAACCTGCAGCTGCATAACAGACAGACAGAGAAACTCAGAAAGGATCCGACCTAACTTACCAGTCTGTAAAAAGAGGCAGTGGGAGATTTAAATTTTGAGACTTGTAAGATTGGTATCAGCCTTGTCAGATAGACCACACAGAAAACATAATTTGGATGATCTTATTCTATTTTATTGTAAGGCTACATTAGCAGAATTTTGCAAATCTAAAGACACAAACTTCTCACTGCCACTTTTAATCTTTTGACCAATTAGGGTGGGTTTTTCCTAAATTTCTTTCTCTGACTGTTAATCCATTGGGTATTCCAGTCTCTCTTGTCTGATTGTTTCCTAGGCAGCACCTCTGCCCCTCATTCCCCAAGGTCATTCACACAGTCCATTACAATTTCTGAACCAGCTTCCGAATGGTCTCCAAGGGATGCCCCTTGTATAGCACACTGCAGTAATTCAAACAGAAGATGATTAAGTTATGGGTAACTGTGAGCAAGGCCTCCCAGTCCAATAATGGGAGTAATTGGCATACAAGATACATTTATTTATTTATTTATTTATTTATTTATTTATTTAGTCAAACATGTACGAGATAATAGGTATAAATATAGACATGGACATGAGCACAGGTAATGAGTACAAATAAATGGGACAGTGGGAGAGGGATGGTAGGTAGCTGGCGCGCTTATGCAGGCCCCCTTACAGATCTCTTAGGAATGGGGTGAGGTCCACAGTAGACAGTTTAAGGTTGAAATTATGGGGGTTTGAGGATGTAACAATGGAGTTGGGTAGTGCATTCCAGGCATTGACCACTCTATTGCTGAAGTCGTATTTTCTACAATCGAGTTTAGAGTGGTTTACCTTGAGTTTGTATCTATTGTTTGCCAGTGTATTATTGTGGTTGAAGCTGAAGTAGTCATTGACAGGTAGGACATTGTAGCAAACAATTTTGTGTACTATACTTAGGTCAGACCGTAGGCGGCGTAGTTCCAGGTTGTCCAAGCCCAAAATTTCAAGCCTATAAATATGTACAAAGCCAACCCAATTCTTCCCCAGCCTCAGCTGTTACCTGCTCTTGCAACAGGAGCCATTAGTCCAAGAGGACTCCCCCAATCCCATTGCACACCAAATCTGTATGTGGGAGTGTTACCTCATCCCAGGTCAGAAATGTCAATTCTTCTGACCCTGAAGAGAGAAAAACTCACAACTACTCCGTCTTGCTAAGCTTGAGTTGCAGCTGGTTTCTCCATATGCAGCCCTTACGGTTTCCAGGCACTGTAACTAAATAAATGGAACACATAAATGTTTGATTTTATCATCTTTGGCTGATATATGTTTATTACTTCACAATGTGAAAAGTTAGCTCTGTTACATTTGCAGTTTTCTAATCGATGTTACTGAATGGAGCCAAGTCTTCTGCCTCAGAATTCTTTCCATTTTTCAATCCCCATCTGGAGGCTGGGAACAGAAGCTCCTTCTGTGATTTGATGATGATGACTAACATAGAGAAAGGCTGTTTACGGCAGATCTCACACCTGGGCAACTAAAAAAGATCGTAAATTAAAAGTCCATCTTTATAATTAGGCGAATTACAGAAACCAAAACTGTTTGCTCTTTTTCTGTGTTGTGGTATAAATTATTCTTGGAGATTTGAAATTCAGCAAATTGTTGGAGGATGTGCTCCCGAACATATGCAGAGCAGGGGTGGGTTCTAAAAATTTTTACTACCGGTTCTGTGGGTGTGGCTTATTTTGTGGGCATGGTTTGATGGTCATGTGACAAACAATTCTTTAGAATTTAGCAGAGGTACTGGTCTACCAGCCTTTTAACTGCTTGCAGACCCATACCAGTCTACCTATTTGTTTTTGGAGCGCACTGGTCTACTATCACACTGCCTTTTACCACTGATCAGCTGTAGGGCGGCCCTTTGAAGCACCGCGGCAAGAGTTTAAATAGTTTTTTGCTACTCTGCCACCACCGAGAGCATCGGAAACGACTTTCAGGCAGCTTGGCCTCAATTGCCAATCTACCACCACCGATCGGATCGATTCTAGCTGATCAGTTGGGAGGCTTCTTGGTTTCTCAATTTAAAGCTAAGGTGTCTTAATTTTTTTTCTCTTCTTCGTCAAGTGAGCCCTGATTTTTTTCTTCTAGCCGATCATCTGGGACTCGGGAGGCAGCGAATAGATTGGGGGTGGGGCCAGGCAGAGGTGGTATTTACTAGTTCTCCAAACTACTCAAAATTTCCACTACCGGTTCACAAGAACCCGGGAGAACAGGTAGCAACCCACCATTGATGCAGAGTGTAAAAAGAATACCAAGTAAGTAGCAGAAAGTCCCATTAGAAAGGGTGGGTGTCACAACATATTTTTGCCTTAGAAACAGAGTATGGCTTTCACTCAGCTATGACTAAATGCTAGTAGGAATTCTTTGTACATGAAGTAGATTGGGGAATATATTGCATACAGAAGCCTCATATTTAAACTATATCATGAGAACATAAAGGGGAAGAACAAGAGTGAAACAGGAAGTTCCCTTTGTTTCTTAAACAGGCAGACTCCTTTAATGAACATTAAAGATAGCTGAGACACAGACACAGAGACACAAGGCATGAGGCAGCTCACAGATACAAGGAGATGATGCAATCACCTATGGTTATTAGTCATCTCATCTTTCTTCCAGTGAAAGGATCTTTCTGTTCCTGACTTTGCCAAGACAATGCAAAAACCTACAACCAGTCCATCTTGCTAGGCTTGAGTTGCAGCTGGTTTCTCCATATGCAGTCCTTATAGTTTCCAGGCACTGTAACTAAATAAATGGGACACATATGATTGCTATCAGATCTTTCTAAGACACGGGTGTCAAACTCACGGCGTCATGTTGCCGTCACGTGATGTTTTGTGACATTTTTTCTCTTTGTGGAGCTGGGGTGGGCATGGCCTGCATGTGACACATCCGGCCCACCGGCCACCAGTTTGACACCCCTGTTCTAAGAGGACCAACCTGGGTCTCACAGGAGGTGCAGGGGGCATTGATGACATATGTCATAATGCATATGCTACAACCTACAGCCTTCAGCCAAATGTCTAATGCAAGCACAAATCATGGTATCTGCACATATTATCTTATACATTGTCTTTAAGTATCACAGGAATTTGTTACAGATGGCACTGATGACAACGTCTTGCGTCCACTGCAGAGAGAAGTTTCATCTTTCATATCTGTGTTATTATTTGGACCTGTTGAATTTATTGGGAGACATTGGCTGATTAGATCAGTACGCCAATTTTTTTTAACCATGGCTTGTAAAAAAAAAAAGGCACAAAAGTCTGATCTGGACATAATATACTAAACCTGAATTGATAAGTTCACACACACCCTCTAAAATCAAGCATTTACAGTATATTGTATTTGAAATGTGATTCAGTAGTTAATATGTCAGATCCCCAGGACATCCTGGTTGAGATCCAATTCTCAGCTACGAGTGGATGCCTTTGGGCCTGTTCCTATTTTTTACAGGGACCCTCACAGGGCATTAGCAATTCTCAATAAGCATATTCTCAGAATTGAATCTGTGTAAAACACTCGTGCACTTTGAAATGTGCAGGGTGAACATTTCCCTTTAAAATGCACAAATGAAAGCCCTGGGGGAAATTACTATAAATACAATGGAAAACCAGGGTGGTAATATGCATGCATTAAAAGCATAACCTGTCTCTAATTTGTCTGCCACACATCCATCCAACATAGCCTCTCTTCTCTCTTTATAATTCTAAAGAGCAATTGTATTGAATGCTTGATGAAAGTGACTAGTTAATGTTTGACTTCTAGCAGCAGAGGCATTTTAACAAATCCCTTGAAGAATGATTATGGCACAGACCCAGGCTACTTCTTAGTCATTACATAACCTTTGCATGAACTGTAAAAGTTGAATAAAACAATAGTGGATTAATGCTACAGTGGGTGATTTCGAACATTATGAAACCTCCCTTGACATCTTTCCTTTTTCTTATTTTTGTTTTTTTTTAAAAAAAAAAGCTCTTAAAAATAAAATATACAAATCACAATTCCCTGATCTATGGTTTTAATTTGTTTTGGACAAGGGAGAGAAAAGCAACTGCATTCACTGCAAAAAAAAAAAAAAAAGTTTAGAAACAGATGTTATCATTTTTATGTATGTATATTATTGAACCTGAAAAACAAAGCCTGTGAGGCTGCTTGTCAATGAGTAACTGGTCATGCATGAACTGACAATCACAATGGGCCTCCCACCCCCTACGATGGTCTTGTTTGTTTCTAGGTGGAGGCTCTTCGCGCTCCATTAAACTGCCTGCCCCACAGTCTGTGAGAAGAAAGAACAGCCGTTGGGTTTGAGTCACCATCAAGGTAGGAGGAAGCCTTCTTTGTCCTGTGAGGCTGCACGGCTGCCGATGAACGATGAGCCCCATCAGCAAACAGGTCACATGGTGGTAATTACACACACAACCTCCATGCAAAACATGGACTGGTGAAAAATAAACAGTGTCTACTTGCCCCACCACTTCCCCAAAGTGTTTTTTTGTTTTTCTTTGTAGTTGACTTTTAGATGAATAAAGGTTGCTGGAGGTAATTGGTCGCAGAGAAGTTACAAATATCGCCATGAGGTTTTGCAAGTTTTCTGTGAAGCTCAAACCAAACTTAGGAAACTTGGTTTCCTTCTGAAAGAAGAAAATTGAAGGTCAAGTCATAAATGAATAAAGCTGTGGGTGTGTGGACCAGCTTGTGTATTATACATTACATATTCCTAATGTCTAGCTTCTATGACAGGCTGGAAGAAACCAGTTTTTTGTTACCTGAGGGAGAAAATCTAAATGAAGCATCCCACATTATGGAAAATGAGAAGATCAACTGCCTGACATGGAAGACAAATTGATCCCTCACACTTCACTTAAAGGAGCTGATTGAACTCACAGCTGAATTGTTTCAGTGCTGGTGACAGGAAAGCATCCTTAATCATAACTGGAAACAGGCATAAGGTAGGTTCACAGCACATACAGCTCTTGCTGCTAACATCACTGCCCTGCACCTCCCCAGCCTCTAAATCCCCAGCAAAGGTTGCAACACTATGTATTCTGTGGCCAGGGCAATCTTGATTTCCTGAGATTTATGAATTACACTTCTGCTAATGCACGAATCACCACCCCGTTATCATTATTATATTAATCCAAGTTGCCAAAGTAAGCCTAGATTCTTTAACCACTATTGTAATAACTGGAAAACAGAATTTCTACAACATCCACTTCCCAGTCTCTCATTAAATAACCTTTGTTACATGAGCTACCACTAAGCTTTTCTTTCTTCCTTTTTTTTTCTTTCTTTCTTCCTTCCTTCCTTCCTTCCTTTCTTTCTTTCCTCTTTCTTTTTCTTTCTTTTTCTTTCTTCCTTCCCACTCTCTTTCTCCATTCAGAAACATAAAACAGCAAAAAAGAAAGAAAAAAGAAATGTATAAACTATATAAAATGGAATAAAAAAATCTGAAGTAACATTAAGTTAGCGCTGCATAAACAAGTGATCAAAATCATTTCTATAAGTCAATGTTCAATAATTAGGGCAGTCAGTATAACAAGAGTAATAACAATTAGCAAGAGTTTCTACCTGATACAAAATATTCTAGTCTTTAACAACTCAGGCAAAAACTAATACATTAAATCCTTACGTTAAGAGAATTGCAAACTCTGAATACAATATGAATTCACATATAGAATTATAGTTTATGAATGGTTCCAAGCTTAATGAAAGTTTATATTTGACTTATTTCTAAAATGCAAAGTTATTTTTTTACATTCATGTATATTCCAAAGTTTGTTTGCTATTCTTCTAAAGAGAGAATTATATGTGATTTCCAATAAAAGACAAAGTACAGTATACAGACAGCTTTTACCATATATACAGCATCAACTCTGTATACTTTGTAGGGATGTAAGGTTCAATAACTGAAACAAAAGTTCCAGAAAAAGGAATTTCAATTTTAAGATTTGTTTCATTCTACAATAAATCATCTTCCAGAATTGTTGAACTTTATAACATTGCCTCCAATATTTAAGAAAGATGCGACATAATTATTCCATTTACTACAGTTTTGGCAACCCGCATTGGAGTAATGTGAGTTTCCAGGTACAGTTCAAAGTGTTGAATCAATTATTCTCATCATTGTGAGAAAAAAGCATGGATGTTTTAGGAACAGTCTTTCTCCATTTTTTTTTCTATCTATCTTTAAAGATGCAATAGGGACGGCATGATTCAGGTCCTGCCTGTTAAGCAGTGCCATCTTATGGGGCATGTCTTGTTGCTACATGTGCCCTCTGTAAAACAATTGCCCCTGAGATCTGGACAGCTTTGATCTTTCTATCCTTCAGGAGAGCCCTTAAGATCTAGCTTTTTCTCCAGGATCTGCACGAGGATAGCATCTGTATCCATTATAGGAGATGAACTATGTTGTTGTGTGATGTTATTATGTAATGAGTTTTGATTTTTTTACCTTCCCAACATGACTGCGCTTTTTCC